AGCAGAGTGCTGCTGTGGGCTCCTGGGGCTTGGGACTCTGTGCAGCCAGGTCTGGTAAGGATTTCAGGTTCTGCAGTTAGGGGAAAGGAGTAGGAAAAAGGAAAAACTTGTTCCTCTAGGAGGTTGGGCAGCTATTTAATGAAGTTCACAGGTTTGGGATCACTTGGTTTTCCTGGCTCTCTGCTTTGCTGTGCTCAAGCACCACGCGCAGTTCCACACTCACAAGCTGCAAACAAGTGTGCCAGCACTTTGGGGGGAATGTTTAGTACAAAGCTTCAGGAGCACAAGGACAAGCAGGAAAGGCCAGTTTAGACTGCAAATCTCCTGCCAAGTGAAATTTTAAAGGAACTGAATAGCCCTCAGATTCCTCAGGGACTGATGAGAGAAGCCTGGAGAGCTCTGGTCTGGTACAGAGTTTGTGTGAAGGGGTCCCCCAAGGCATCCTGCCACTGCTCAGGCTGCTCATCCTGCAAGATGTCCCTGCAAGGTGCAATAACCTCCCTTCACCAAGGAACACCTTAGGCAATCTGATACTGTTATCAGCTTTCTTTTTTGTTTGTTTTAAAGAAAAGGTATTTCCAACTTAAGAGAATTAGAAGCTGCAGATGCTTTACATAGCCCAGCAGTTTAGTGCCTGGGATAATGAACATTTCTTTATGATACAGGATTTTCAAGAATGCCCAAATCTCCCGTCAACATCTATATCAAAGGGGTAGAAATCCAAAAAGTCCCTTGGCTAAACAGGTCAGGGCCTGCCCACAGAAAATGCAAAATGCTATTTTAAGGGAAGTACAAAGACTAGCTACAAAGTTGATGTCTCTCTGCAAGCTAGATGAGTTACATACCCACACAGAAGGCCAGTGAGAAGAAACCCTGAGCTGATTAAATTAACCATCCCCAAAATGCTCTGGCAAGGCAGGGTTACCTGCCCGGTACAGCAGTTTTTGCTTTCATCTCCAGGAAATGTCTGTTTATTCCAAATCCCTTTTGCTATAGTAACCAGGATTTAGAGAAAAGGAGGGAGGGGGGAAAAGAATTCCCCAGTACTTCACTAGAAAAGTTGTACTACCCCTGGCAGAGTCCTGCAGTTAAATACCTGGGGCCAAATTACATTTCAGATTTCATTTACATTTCCAGACAACCCCACAGACTTGATGCTTCAGCATCTCAACAGGCTCCTGCAGGAAGGAGCCCAGGTTTCCTGCCTTGCTCCAGGATCAGCTGCTGGAGTGTGTTGGGTTGTCTGGCAGAGTCACCCACTATCCCCTAGGAACAGACATTTCCCACAAGAAAGTCAAAGTTCATCACTCCAAAAAAGATTGTGCTCCCTGGTCATCTTATCCCTTCTTTGTCTTTGAGAGGAGACACTTGAAAGCAGCAAAGATACTCAAGCAGGAGACCAAAAGTTCCTCCCTTCCTTTGAGGTCTCTGTCTTTTTGTGTTGTTTTGAAAGGGGAAAAAAAACCAAACCATACAACCCTCAAGAGGGACACAACACACGAGGTCTGTTGTTTTTCTTTCCCACGTCCTAATAATCACCAGTGCCAATTCAGCACTATTGATTCTAAGAATTCAAACCCCACACCTTAGTCCCATTCCTCAGTCACAAAATAGCTTTTAAAAGCCTGTTTTTAAAGTTGTATGTATATTGGGTGAGGGGGATTTGTCTTTGTGCTTCCAAGTCCTACATTGCACTTCAGAAAAAAAAGACTAAAATGTGGCCCAGCCACAAGGACTCAAACCAGACTTTTTTTTTTTTAATAGCATGAGATTCTCAGCTTTCATTTGGTGCCCCCATTTCCAGCAGCTGGGATTTATGCAAAAGAACATCAAATGCCACAGGGCTTATAATAAAAATAAAATCAAATGATGAAAGCTCCTGCCACTGCTGTTTTGCAAGTCTCCCTGAGCTGTTTTCAACTGGCACTAGGACTGCTTGGCCTCTGCCATGAGCAAAGAAAAGAAGATGGGGTTGAATGGAACGAGATAACAACTGTTTGTGAGGGTACACCACCTCTGCACTGTTTTTATATGCCAAGGAAGTTCACTCTGGATGCTGTCATCTCATCAGCTGTATTCCTGGGAACTCATTGAAGTGTTCCAAGCCCCTGCCTGTGGTTCACAGAGAGTTTCTGCTCTGTCGCACATGAGAAGTGGGGCTCTCCTCCTTCAGCTTGGTGCTGGCCAGGTATAAAAGCAAGAGGAATTTGCTGGTTTATGCTTTCATTTCAGTGCTATGAACCTCAACAAAGCTGCTGTAGGATAAGCCAGTTCCCCTAGCACAGAGAGGTTTTATTCTCCATCAATATTGCATGTCACCTTCTGGTTACCGAAGCACAAAGCCCACACCCTGACAGAGAGGAGCCACAGGGACCTAATGCAGCCTGGGGGGACAAAGAACCTCTGCAGCAGCAGCCACCACTGGAGGCCAGGTTTCCTCACATATTTTCCTTGTTAGTTCAAGAGTCAGGGAACAGTCAACAGACTGATTTAGCAAGAGCCCTTCTCAGTGCCGAGCCCCTCTCAGCGCCGCCGGCTGAGACTGCTTGTGGCACTGCCTGAGCCGTAAATTATTCAGAGCCAAAGAGCTCCTGCCATCCAGGAGGTTGGGCAGTCTGTACCCCTTGCCAGCCTGTCTGTCTGCTCCTACTTCTACCCCTTTCTCACTTTGAACATTGTCTTCCCATGCCAGGCTGTGAGGACAAGGAAACCACAGCGGAACACCCACCAGACACGCACCCGCAGCGCTTGGACCCAAAGCCGGAGCCACTTCAAGCCAAAAGCACAGCAGAGTCCGCGCACCCATCGTGCAAGTGGATCATTTGCAAATGGTCCAGAAAAAAGCTGGCTGTAACAACTGCACAGAAACAGGGATGGGAACAAGACAGTGAAATCCAGTGTTTATATTTGGATGCAAATTTTCCCCAGCAGTGCTGGTGCCTGAGAAGTGGAAACCTTTGACTTTAGGGAGAACCTGGTAGGGACTAGAAGCCTTCCAGAAGTATAACAGCCTGGCTTATTTACTTCTCTCAAAGCCAGAAAAACACTAAAGCATTATTAAGAAGTGCCTGAACAATGAAATGCAAATGCCACTCAAATACTTAAATAAAGAGAATGATCCTTCCCCCAGAACAATGGACAGGGCTGTAACGTCTGCCCTCACGGGACAGCCTCATACAGGAGGCTCTTGTTCCAGTTGCTTCAAAAGAGGCTGTTTAATTTTAGTAGGTCGGCAAGCATATGACATTACAAAGCACTTCTTAGACAAAAGCAGAGCTGAGGAGCGCTGCAATCCATGTTCCCTACAGGAAGGAAAGCAAAGCTTCCTATTGCAGGGAGGAGGTGGAAGGGGAAGGGGCTGACATTTTAGAGAGAGCAAGGCCAACTTGTAAAATTCAGACAGAACAGGCCCAGAGCAAGGAGGTAAAAACTGCAAAACAGGGTAAAATATAAACTGGCCCCATCTCTCACCCAAGCTGGTGTATGTTTGCCTTTTTAATTTTACAGAGATTAGTTTTGCTGCAGTTGTAATCCATCCAAATCCCGAGTCCCCTCCTAGGAGAGATGTTTGCCTTTCACTTCCTTAGAAGGGTACATATTTACTTTGCTCTTTAATGTACCCAGGGCTCAGCATCACAGTCAGCAGCCATCCAAATGCCAGGTCTCTGGACAAATTGCAATCTGGCTGCTTTGTGCTGATGCACAGGAGGAAGCTCTGGGCCCCACAGCCCCCTGAGTGGGGTGTCACAGAGAATCTGGGGGCTTCACTGATGGACTTGAAAATAAGAAGGGACACTGACCCACGCTGACATTGCAAAAGGCACTTGCTGAATAAGCACACGTTGCCCAGCAGAACAGCACCTCTCCAGCATTGCTTAACCCAGGCATGAACTGGACATGGATTGTGTTATTCCAGTGACAGCCCTGGGGCTCAGCTCCCACGCTGGCCTGGGCTCCAGCACAGCAAGTCTCAAAAGCTGAGATCTTGTTGGGTTTTTTTTTAAACTCTAGTCACATTACCCTGGCAGACCACAAATGTACCTGATGCATTAAAAAGAGGAAGGAAAAAGTAACAGAGCTGCTGAACACACCCTTTGACCCTCCCCTGACTGCCACTAGTTACAGGGAGCAGCAGATAAACTGCCCAAGACAGGTTTGAAAAGTCTCATAATCACCTGCTTTCCACTGTCTTGACACAGGAAGACCTGCATACACACAGGCTCAGTTATTAGAGTCTAGCACAAGGCTAGTGTACCTGGGTTCATTCCCTCACCCTCTCCAGCCCCCTGCACTTTTCCTGTGGCAGAAGGAAAGATGCCTTTCACACTGACCTTCCTCTGCTACCAGGGACTCAAACCTAATAAGAAAGCAAGGGAAAAAATGTGAAAATATATATATCTATATATCTATATATCTGCCATGCTGAGAGAAAGAGATGCAGGAACCTGCTGTTCCAAGTACAGCACAACTATCCATTGCACTAACCAGCTGGATTGCACTTTGTGTCCCTGTGCCTTCACGACCACGGGAAATGGAGCTCTTGCCATCAGTTGCCTCTGCATTGCAGGTGCTGACCCAGGAACACAGCACAAATCAAAACACAAGGGTTACCCTCTCATCTGATTTTTCAAAGGACAGACTGAACAGGGAAGAAATGCTCTTTTTGGTGCTGCATTTTCTACCTTTACAAACTCCAAATGGGGAGAAAAAAAAAATAAAAATCCAACAACTCCAGTTTTCTCTTCACAGCGAAGAACCCTTCATCTTCCCTGGCCTGTTTACAAGCAGCTCTAGTTAGAAAATAGTTTGCCCATGAAAGCAAGTGGAGAAAATCCAGGCAGTGATCAGGCAGCGAGCAGAGCACAACATGAGCAATTTCAAACTCGCACCGATGCTTCAAGCTGCTCCAGAGATTTTGCTTTGCCATAAACGAGCCACTTCCTCTCTGCAGAGTGAGAAATGCACAGCTGTACAGCTCACACACAGCCACAGGCTCTTACCCAGAGCTTGCCATCCCAATAAAATGCTCCCAGCAGCTTGACGATGTGCCGGTGGTCGCAGGTGGCCAGTATTTCAATCTCCACCATGTAATCCTCCAGTTCATCTTCACTCTTTGTTTCAATGACTTTGGCAGCTGCTAAGGCACCAGTTTCCTTATTCTTAGCCTGCAAGACAAAACCAGCATGAGTACGACAGCCAGGAGCACACAGTACTTGCACAATTCCCACTCCTCCAATTCCCATTCTTGGTACCAGCCACAACACAAGAATGGAAACTTGCAAGCCCAAAACATCCTCCTCCCTCCCTCCAGTCTCTAATGCCCACACCACTTCCCATCATGGGGAGAAAGAGGCTTTTAGAAAAGATGATGCCTGCTATTATTTGTACCATGCAAAAGATGGAAGCAAGAAAACCTCAGAGTATAGCAGCTCTCTTCTAATAGCATACGTGACAGCTCCATTTAATACAAGTCCTGAGTGCACAGACCGTCCAGCCAAATCCACAGTACAGCTGTGAACCATCTCCTCCCCAAACATCCCTGCACTCCCCATCCTCACCAATGTACTTTTCTGTAACACGCAAGAGAAATGTAGGGATCATCTTTCTGGCAGGTAACCAAGAAGGGCGCATTTTTATTTCCTAGGACCTGCAGGCATTC